CCGTCCGGGGGGCGCCGGGTCCCTCTGCCGCCCCAGACCCCGGCCGCTTCCGGAAGTCCCCGGGCGCTCTCCAGCGGGATCGGCTTCTGGGCGAGTCCTGCAGAGCTAGTGGATCCTTGGTCCGGATGAGACGCACATTCTGCGTCCTGTATACCGGGGTCCTCTGGCTGCACTGTGCCCCACATTCACTGAAGGGGCTCCTTGCATGGGTTCCTGGTCCTGCCCTAGATTTGGATTTCCGGGTCTGGGCGGTACAGCCGTCTTCAGCAAGCGGACAGGTGACTGGTGCAAAATCAGTTTGAAACCACGTTTTACAATAGGCAGCAGCTCCTGCGGCCAAAAGTCAGGCCGAGAAGATCCTTCAGAGTATGACATCACTGAATGCTGGGTAGATCGTTTTCCTTTTTACCTCTTCTAGGTTCCCTTCTATTTGGGAAGGTCTTCAGTGGTGTTTTTGTTTGTTTGTTTGTTTGTTTGTGACAGGGGTCTCACTGTGTAGTTCAGGCTGGCCTTGAACACTATATTGCCCAGGTTGACCTCGAACTCGTGCTGATCCTCCTGTCACAGCCTCAGTGCTGGGATGATAGGTGTGTGCCACCACACCCAGCTTCGGTGATATTTTAATTAAGGATAATTCATGTTCTACAGACTGCCTTGGACTGGTTATCCGTGCCCTGTTTTGCATCTGATTGGCTTTCCGACAGATCTAGAGGATGGATGAAATAATAAAGCAAAATATAATGAAAAGACCAGATGATCTAAATTTTTAAATCAGCTAAATCAGTAGGAGAAGATTCTATTTCACTTTAGGCATGACTTATACATTCGTTACAAATCAAAGACAGCATTCATGGGCTGTTGTTCAGGAATGGACCTTTATATTTTCAGATTAAATTTGTACCAGCATCATCAGATTGATCATTTGCTAATTGTCAATCAAAAGAACCCTGGACTGTGTATCAGGAGAGCTGGATTCTAATCCTACTCTACCAGAGATATGTTCCTGGTGCTTAGCAATTCATATAACCCTTTAAAACCTTTTCCCTACCTGTAAAATAAGGGTATCAATAATCATGCTGTTCATTCGTTACCCTCAAATTATGTCATTTGAGATTTTTGACCTGGAACCTTTAAAAGAATAACAGTTTTGAGTTTAAATGGCTGTAAATCAGGAATACCTAGAGGCTTCTAGGTGGTAATTGAGACAATTATCAAGATTTTATATTTGAATTGTATTTCATATATATGCTACATTAGAATTGTGTAATTATAGGATGATATAAAGCTATAGTTTGAACTTAGGATTTCTAACAACTGTAGTATGTGTTGGACTTTTTAATATTCATCTTTACTAATTTTATACAGAAATGTACACGTGATGTGTACTGCGTCCTTTAAAGCAAATACTGATCACAAATTCCCCATACCCTGATTCTTAGCTGCAGAAAACCAGGTCAAATGTCCTATCTCTAAAGCTTCAGTGCCTGTGTCACAGGTAAGGAGTGAGCAACAGTTTCTTCTGTTCTTCTATGTAGAGTTAAGAGAGTCATCTCCCATCCTCCTGAGAGGAAAAAGCTTTTGCTCGGTGGACCTGCTGGACATTCGTGCACATTTGAAATAATTAGGAAAAATTAACAAGTTTCTTGCTTTTTTTTGGTACCTGGGATCAAACTCAGGACTTTGCACTTGCAGGGCAGGCGTGGTGCCACTGAGCTAAATCCCTGGCCCTCCAAGACAATTCTCAAGTAATTCTTTTTTGAGGTTAGGAATAATTAACTTTTTCCACTATTTCTAAATAAATAATGAGAATAATCTTAACTGTTGAGAAACATAACTTTACATGTATTCAGCAAACTGTATTTTGTGGTACTTGTTGCATACAAAGCACTGCAACAGGTCATGGAAATAGATACAAACACAGCAAGTATAGGTCCTGACTTCCAGGATTCCCACAAAAGAAACAATTAAACTAGTAGCTGTAAGGCCTGCTAACGGCTTCTATAGGATTACATAACCAAAATACTTACCATAAACTTAGGGAATCAAAGAAGACTAAGAAGCAAACCTAAAGAAGTAGGAGTTCTCTAGGAAAGTTCCTAAAGAGGAAAGTGGGGAAACAAAAAGTCACTAGAAGAGCAGTCAGCTTGTGCAGAGGTGCAGAAGCATAGAATCTCAAAGAAGTTTAATGTAGACTGGGGGTGGAAAGGAGATGAAAGGGTTTGTAATGAACAGCTATACCTAAGGCGTTTCTGTGCGTGGAAGGCATCTAGTAAATACATCTGCCTAAGATACTGTGTCTAACCCTTCACCTAGTCCATTTATGCTGTTTCTTCAACTCAAATCTCAAGTGTTTATGAAACTTCTCAAACCTTTAGCTGGAGACATCCTGTCTAAAGTCAGTTCTCACTGTCTCTGTTACATTATTGGTAATGACACTGTCATCTCTTTTTAAAAAGTATCTCTTTTTTGAATCGTTTTTGTATTTGTTTTAGTTTTTCAAATATAATGAGCATCCTGAACCTTGAGCTTATTGATCCTTGTACATAATAAAAGTTGAGTAAGGCTTTAATCAGTTAGGAAGTAATGGAATATGAAAAAGAGATTGGGCCGGAGATTTAGCTCAGTGGTTCCAGCGCCTGCCTTGCAAGTACAAGGACCCAAGTTCAATCCCCGGTACTGGAGAAAAAGAAAAGAAAAAGAAGAGATCTAGTTCTACTCTGAATTTTCTCTTGTCTTCCTTCTTCTCTGCTGGATGCCAAGACTCTTTTCAGTGGTGGTGAAGCTTGGGGGGATGCATTTTACACCGAGCATGCTACCACCAGCCCCCTCCAGAGCTGCATTTTTTTAAGGGTGTTCACTTCCACTTACCCTGCTGGAAGAGCGGGCTGGTGAAGGAGGGCCTCCCCTGCTGAAGGACCTGGGAGGTACACGGAAAATCCAGAATTGAAGGGATTGGCGTTTGGCTTTGAGTTTATTGTAATAGAATCTGATAAGAGACCTACCTATGCCTGTGTTCTGTGCTTGACTCCTTTATTTTACCTATGAGTAAAGTGCACTGGTAGTTCCAAACTGTGAACACACGGTTATTGTGACAGAGGTGAATTGAATTTGTTACTGCCCTGTTGTGATGAATGCCTGCACCCTCCTGAGGAGAAAAGATGCCTGAAAGGGACAGAGCAGTCTTTGCTGCTTCTGACAATGAAGATGAAGTTTTTTACCTGCTCCCTTATTCATATGACTGTCAGACAAGTATCTTGCTTTGGGGGGTACTATTTAAAGAACTAATACTATAAAAAGAAGGTAGTGAATTTTAAGGAGGAACCCTGGAGAATGTGAGGAAGATTTGTCAAAGAAGGCAACTCTGAAGTTGTTCAGTAAAAAGACCCTGAGACAGTTCTATTTTGTGCTGTAGTGATGTTTGCTAATGCAGAGAAACCCAAAGGCTATGTGGTTTATTCACTTAAACATATTTAAAAGGAGCCATGTCTAGCAATATTATTTAAAATAAATCTTTGTCTCTAAAAGGAATAAATAATAAGGTAAACATTTTGGCTATTCAGAATGACTGTACTCTTATTCCAAAATGCGAGCATCATCAGTACTAGAGATTAGTGTCATAGGTTGCAAACTATTCAGAGATGAATTGAACACAGGTAATGTTTCACAGTTGCTAATCAGCAGTTGAGGGCAGTGGGTCTGCACTTAGCTACACTTGAGAGCGGTTGGTAGGGTCCCCAGCATGATCTTGGAGAGGCGGTAGGAGCGACTGCTGTGGGCGAGTAACTAGAAATTGTCAAGTTGAAGTTGAGTAGAGAAGATAGCCAGAAAACTTACAGCTGGCCCTGTCATTGATGAAATTTTAATTTTTAAAAAAATTTACTGTTTTTAACAATATGTTAAAAGGAATTGGTATAAATAACTCTAAAGGTGGCTATAGATTAATAGTTAATTTCATGGATAACATGGGTTTTTCATGGAAACTAGGAGTATTTTGAGTTTATTCAGGTATTAAGTAATGCTTTAGATGGCTATAATTACAGAACCTCATAGAAATTCTCTTTCAGGAATATTCTTCAAGCAGTCACTATGTCAAGCAACACGGATGTTTCTCTTTCTTCATACGATGAAGATCAAGGATCTAAACTTATCCGAAAAGCTAAAGAGGCGCCATTTGTCCCTATTGGTATGTTTGACCTTGATGTTGTAATGATTGTGCTATAAGTTTGCAACAACAAAAGCAAGGTAAACTTGTTCCGTGAACATAACCTGAAAAAATTTATTTTCACATTTTATTTTTGAAATATGCTGTGATTGGCATGATATAAATCTCATCACAAAATTATTTGTATATTCAAATATTTTGTTCTTTTGTTTTCAGTAAATAAAGTTTTGGGGGATTCCAGGACCACCCTCAGATTCAGTGATTTGCCAGGACTCTGACTCATGTTATAGTTGTGTTTATGGTTTATTGGAGCAAAGGGTACAAGTTAGAGTTAACAGTGCATAAAATGAAGTCCAAGAGAAACAAAGTGGAGTCAAAAAGAGTCTGGCAAAAGCACTGCCATCTGGGAGCATCCACCAAGCCCATGTTCGGGTTTTATTGAGGGCAGTCACTTAAGTATGCAGCCCCTTGTGACACATACAAAAAATAAAACGGCGTGATCATCTCTGGAGATTTAAAAATCAGCACAGAATAGAGTTTACTCTAGAAACCAAAAGCAAATACCAATTACACTTAGTGTTGAAACACTAGAACCATTCCTTTAAAGTCAGGATTGAGCCAGGGATACATGTGAACATTGCTGTTGTTTGGAAGTCCTTAAGACATAAGACATGAAGAAACTAGAAAAACAACCAGAACCAATCAAGAGAAAAAGTTACTGCCATGAATACATCAGAAAACATCTAGGAATATCTAAAACCCAGAGAAGTTAGAACTATAAAGTTACACTGAAGGACACGAGATGTGCGGGAAACAGATGTACCACATTCCGAGAGTTCCAGTCTTCTGCAGTTCTGTTTCTCATTCCTAACGGTTTATACTGTATTTATTTTCTCTTTCTTTAACCTGACTTCTTAGAGCTTTGCAGTTGTTTATTATAAGAACCACTGCTATTGTTCTTTGGGTTGCTAGTATAATTGTCTGGGTTTCCTAATTGCACAGGTGTTACTTTAACCTCAGAACCCAAATAGAAGCATGTAATTCTCAGAGGTTAGCAGTATATATGTATGGCTGTTTTATATTTTGAATGGTTGGTTTTGTTTTGTGGATGCAGTCTTTTTGGAACTCGAATATGTGTCTTAATATTTGATTGTGTTTTGTCGGTATTTGAAAAAAGGTGTGATCTCTGTTTTAAATTAAAATATTAAATGTATTTATTTAAAAACATTAAGTTTATTTAATGGCATCAATTCAAAATGGTGTCATTCTAAAAAAAAGACATGTTACTTTTCCTATTTTATCTTCTGTTATAATATGCATGTGTTGCTAACCATTTTTGCTTCATGTATGCTATTGCTATATTGATTACATTATTTAAAAGTTTATTATTATTATTATTGTTTTGGGGGGTACCAGGGATCGAACTCAGGTCCTTCTGCTTGCGAGGAAAGCAGCAGCAGAACCACTGAGCTAAATCCAGCCCAAAAGTTTATTTTTACAGTTTAACTCTTTAATGTCATACCTCTATCTCCTATACAAAGTATATGTCCAGGTTTTGTTTTTCATAACCCAGTAAAGGAAGGAAACCTACATTAATACTTACCCTATTAAGTTCTCTTGGTTTTATTTCTACTAATTTGTTTTCTGTTTGTTATACTTTGCTTCCTTTGTTTTTTTTTTTTTATTTTTCTTGTAATGATTTGGAAGTTCTCTTCCAATACTTCTGATGATTATTTTTACATTATTAATTGGGATATAATTTTTTTCATTTATTTCTAGTATTAAGATGAATATAAATTTATTTCCTAACTCTTATCACTAATTTTTCTATATTACACTCATTTTGAAAGAACCAGTATAGATTTTACTAGCTTTATTATGTTTCACACATTATACATTTATTTATTTTATTTTCCTTTCTTTTCTTTTCACTTTTTTTTCTTTCTTCCTTCCTTCCTTTCTTTTTTTTTTTTAGACAAAGTTCCAAGGCCAAGCTCAAACTTCTGATCCTCCTGCCTCAGCCTCCCAAATGCTGGAATTACAGGCTTGTGCCACTATGCCTAGCTAGTACATTTATTTCTTGCGCTGCTTTGATCACTCTTTCCATTTGGCTGGGTTCTCTCCTCGAGGTGTTTGTATGAGGACATGAAGAGTGCACTTTGCAAACACGCACGGTCATGTTATGAATGTTTCTGCCATCAGAATGAATAGAGCTTGGCTCCACGGAGCTCATACCCTGTATCAGAGCTGTAACCTGCAGGACTGTCTTCTGTACTTATGGTTACCTTCAGGAAGGGAGGCAGAATGGAGAACAAGAGTTACAAACTCAGTCATAACTGAAGGTGCTCAGCACACTCATTTTGTTGTAATGATCATTTATTAGCTTAATTCCCTGGTGCTCTTAAAGGAATCTTCTGTATCTACTGGCTTCACACATACACACACTGGTTTTTGTTTTTGTTTTTTTGTTTTGTTTTTCTGGGAGATGGGGGATCTGGCTAAGTCACTGGAGTCACCCAGGCTGGGCTGGATCTTGCCATCCTCCTGCCTCAGCCTCCCAGAATGCAGGGTTTGCTACTTTTGCTGTGAGTTGCAGATTTTATTTCTAGGGGGAAAAAAATCAAAAGCTCTGTAAATCAGCTGATTAATGGTCCCGCTTATAAAAATACTAGAAGGTAGATTGATGGCATGACCCCCTTAGTCTCCTCCCCAGCACACTAACACCCTGTGGCTGCTTGTTACAGGAATGGCAGGCTTCGCAGCAATTGTTGCATATGGATTGTACAGACTGAAGAGCAGGGGAAGCACTAAGATGTCCGTTCACCTGATCCACATGCGTGTAGCGGCCCAAGGCTTTGTTGTGGGAGCAATGACCCTTGGTAGGTTCCTAGGGTGATTTTCAGATTTGTGGTTGGTTCGCTTCTTTATAGACAGAACAACATAGATGCTTTTAGTTGACATTGAAGCCGTTTAAGAATATCACTTATTTTCATGCAAAAATAAATAAAAATTACAGTAGTTTTACTATGATATATATATCAAGATTTTATAACTTCATTGAGAGTGAATACATGCAGACAGGGTTGGTGGTAAAATGTTTTGTGCCAAAGATGTGAGATTGATATTTTACTGAGTTTGTGAAGATGGAAGAGTTTTTTATTTTTTAATTGTGGATATTAACGTGCTTTTGTTGGCATTATTTAGCTGGTATTATATAACAAGATTGACTCCTTTTAAAGATGCCAGGTATTGATTGTTCTTTAAAATAAATATTTCAACATTGTGAATGAGTCATACTAGCCTTGAGTAACTGTAGAAATTATATATAAAAAGAGTTTCAGACATTTAAGTTATTTAAGAACACAAAAATGTAATCCCCCTTGAGTCTTGTTCTCCCACTAATAGCGCAGGTGAATTTTAGGTGATGCTATTAGCTATTCCGTCAACTGTTTCATTTCTTCTTAATGCTGAAGGAAATATTGCAATACTTAACCAGAATTCTTTTTCTTTAGGTATGGGCTATTCCATGTACAAGGAGTTCTGGGCAAAACCTAAGCCTTAGAAGAAGAGATGCTGTCTTGGTCTTTTTGGAAGCCCTTGCTTTAGTTAGACGTCTCATGTTGAGGTTATATATTTGTGTCAAAAATAAACCATTGCAGTTTGTTCAGACTATATTACAGTATTTTGAATAATGGGTTTTTTTCCTCGCAGATTCATTGACCAAGTGAGTAGTCACTAGTTCACTAACTGGGTCATTCAGGGAATCAACATGAAAGAAACATGTCACCCAAGCTGAGGATTTAGCTCAGTGGTGCTGCTGTCTGCCTCACAAGTGCAAAGTCCTGAGTTCGATCCCCAGTACTCCCCCCCAAAAAAGAAAAAGAAACATGTCACCTAAATGCATTTGATAGTACTCAAATGTCCACCTTTCTTAAACCCTCATGACAAAATTAGTTCCACAGAAGACAGCAGGCCAACCCTGATATACTCCCTGTGTGCCGCCAAATATCACACGCCTTGCATGTCATGTAGGAACGCTGTTGCCCTCAGTTCAGCTTTTGTCTGTCCCCTGTGGACTGGTGTGAGGACTTCAGTTCTTAGGACTGGCTGGCTCTTGAAGAACTCTCAAAACGTACATGAGATATAATTTGCAAACCCTCCCACAACTGAATGTGTGTGTGTGTGTGTGTGTGTGTGTGTGTGTTCAAACCTAGAAAACGTACATCAGAACTGCATAGAAGTATTTATTTCAGAATCACACTTGTAAACATGAGACTAGCTTAATTATGGATTCTGATTTAGCTCTTTTATAATTATAGAATTATATTTTTGCTGCAGTTGTATTAGAGTAATTTTAAATGTCATCTTGAAATGGAAGTATTTAAGTGCTAATACACAGGTAAATGGACATTTTAAAAATATGTGCAGTATGTTTCTTTTGTCTGTAATAATTGTAAATCTTAAACACTTTACCCAAAATGGAAATGACTAATGGTTTATAAGCAAGCTGGTTTGGTTAGACATTACACACAAACTTTGATATACTACAGAATGCGTGTAAATACTTGTAAATTTCTCTTGTCTAACCTGAACTTACATTCCATAGTGATAACATGGTATATGTGTCGAGTTATTAAAGTAGGTGAACACATATAATGTCTTGTATTTATTTCAGTTGGGAAAAATCATTTCTCAGAGGAGCACAAAAATTGGGTCACAAGAAATAAAATCTTGGGATCTGTGTGTGGTGGCACATGCCTGTAGTCCCAGCATTCAGGAGGTTAAGGCAGGAAGATGTGAGGTGTGAGTGTGAGGCCAGCCTGAATTACATAGCCAGACCCCGTCTCAGAAAAGGAAAAGAGATAAATGTTTCCCTTTAGTAGAAACCAAAATTAAAGATATCTACCAAGTAAAAGTAGTGGTTGACAATTTACTGAGCATTTGCTGTGTGCCTCACACTGATCTAAGAACTTTTGTGGTACAGTGTCAGTAAAGTCTCCTAACAACCCTAAGAGGTAGAAACTGATTCTCATTTCACAGCGAGAAACTGAGGCACGAACTGAGGCAAGTTCCTGTCAGTCGCTTAGCCAGAGAGGTGGAAAGCTGGGCCTGGACCCTGGCAGTCTGGTTTGATAGCCTGTTTGTGTGGCCTCCTGAGACAATCAACTGGCTGTCCTTTTTCTCCCCCACCTCGCTCCCATGTAGGTCTGATGAAATTGTCCTTGAAGAAGGTTCTGAAGCACTTTTTACCTTTTTTTTAGAAAATCCCAGGAATGTTAAGTAATGTAGACACCAACCAGTGTTAGGGGTTTAAGTGCTGGCCTGTATGAACTCATTGCTGGAGTGGCAGTAGTTATCATAATGGATAAATCACCCAAGGCTTTGCAGCACGGTCTCAACCCTGATGACTGTGTCACCTGGGCCAAACCAGGGAAGGCTTGGGCTAGGTAACTTCCGTGGTCTTGTCTGAGTGCTTCAAAAGTGTAAGATACTGTTAAGACCTGTTTTCTTAGCTGTGACTAAGCATGCAAGGTGCTCGTAGACACCCTAAGCCTTGTCTTACGAAAGAGAAGCCTTAGAGGAACAAGGTTCAGAAATTTGCCCCCTTTGTATCTCCTCTAATTATCCTCAGCTCTCGCTAGATTCCCAGCCGTAATCTCTCAGGTGGCAGAATTCAATGATTTAATGGTTTCCTCAAGAAAGACTTAGAAAACATGAAATAAAAGACATGTGGAACAAGTCCTCTACAGTTTTGCATGTTCCGATGTGTCTCTAGCCGTTGCACAGTAAAAACAACTTGGATATAAAATCCTTAGTACATGATTTCATTGCTAATGTTGCTAATGTTGCAATGAAAAGCCTAAATCGTGTGACATTGTCTCTAAATCACTGACTGGGTTTTTGTTTTTGCTTGGGTGCTCAAGAAATGAAAAGTCCAATCACTTCCATAGTATCAGTCTTGATGACCTTTCTGGGTTGATGTTCTCTACATGTTCAGAAAATTGTTCTAACCAGTGAGTAGGCTGCTGATTTTGTTTAGATTAATGCTAATTTCAGAATCGTCCCTCTAGCAGGTAATGAGAGGGGAGGAGAGTGAAGTGTTGGGGTGGCAGTGAGTGTTCTCAGTCAAGAGGAAGGGAGTAGGGCCACCAGCTGGTAGAAGAGTGGTAGGTTAGGTTGGGTGCACAGGCGGCATCGGGTGGGTTACAGAAGTTCTTTGGCTTCGCTCAGGGGGATGTGGTGCTGTGTTTTCTCAGATGACACCTGGTTCGAGGTTCTGCCTCTCCTAGCCAAGTAGCTGTTTTCTCTTCTGTAAGGCGGGGATACCACCAGTGGCTTAGGGCTGTGGATTAAATGCAGTGGCAGGTTTAAGGGGCTGGCATGTCATGCAGTGAGTGTTCGTAACGCAGGAGGTGGTTGCTGGAGCCAGTGTGCCGAGTACAGGAACCCGGCAGCCCTCAGGATGTAAGTGTGGGAGGAAGGCCAGCACTGAATAGTGACCACACAAAGTATGTGACTGCTGGTACAGGGTGCAGCAGGACACCAGCCAGGGCTGAGGTGGGAAGAGGTCTCCCAGGGAAGCATGATCCATGGTGAGGAGCAGGCATGTTGATTATTTTCTTGGCCCGGCGTTAGGTGGTGTTGGAACATGGTATGTGATAGCCCTGGGCCTCCTGCCCCAGCTGTGTCCAAAGGCATGTGGTGGTCTTCATCTTACATTAGTGCCTGGCTTATGTAAGTGTTCGGTGTCTGCTGAGTGAGAATAGGCTTTATGTTTCTACACTCAGGAGCCCACTGTCCCTAGAAGAGAGCACAGCTGTTCCTTATCTCCAGGTCTGTCAGCCACACATCAAAAGCATTTTTTAATTGCCTTAACATAACATAAACAGGTTTTCTTACCACAGTCCCTAAACATAACAATTACTTACATAGCATTTACATGGTGATCTGCAGAGAGCATATGCAACAGCCACATGCGAACACTATGCCGCCTGCTGTAAGGGACTCCAGAATCTGGATTTGTCTCCTGGAAGCAATCGCACTGCTGTTATCCAGGGCTGACTTCCTCTTTCTGGTTCCTGTGCCACACTGACCTCTGGTGGTGAGAGTTGGAATGTGACCCCACTTTCCTAACCTCCCAAAGCAGACTGTTTCAGTCCATCTTGGAGAAGGACAGGCCTCTTCTCTCACAGGTAAACTGCTGCTCAAATAATTTCATGGACTTGAATTTTAGGCTGTGTCCCCATGCAGACCTACAGCCTGTAACATCATGCGTACTAGGCCAGAATAAGGCCGAATGAGCATAAATTGTCCAAGGGCACAGCTGCCAGTAATTCTGTGTATACACATCCTGTGTGGAAGCTTCTCAGATCCGAGAGGACGCAAACATGCCAGCCTGGACCACAGTGTCACTTCCCAGTAAGTGTTTTCCCTGGTCTCGTTCATGAAAGACCCAGCACCACTTACACAGCCCAGTTCCATTCCTGGATGAAAGTCCCGCTTTCCCCTTAGCTGCCAAGGTGAGGCCAGTGTCCCTGACCTGAGGAATGATCAGTGGGTGTGGAATCGAAGCCAGCATCCACTTGGTCCCCTCAGAGCAGGAGCCCAGGAAAAAGGCCTTTCTGGTATTGTGTGCTTCTTAACGACACGCGTTCGGTCCTTTTTCTGTCCCCTGTGTAACTGAAGGGGTAGTGATTAAAATTTCCCATCGCCCCTTTCAGTTTCAATCACATTTGCTGTCTTCCTGCTGGTGGCCCTTCTGAAGCCCTCGTTTCTGTCAGCAGTATGTGCACCTTCCCTGTCAACCCCTGCTCAGCTCTTACGGTAGCGTCCCTTCCTCTTTTTGTCACTATTAAGCTGGTCCCCAAGTTCTATCACTTTCCATAACAGTCTCATTGTTCACTTGGGCCTTTTCCTCTCAATGTTGCCACCACCTGAAACCAAGGCCCCTCGCCTCTGTTTCTGCTACCTGGTGCTGGCTAATATTTGTTTCACTCTTTATGAGAAAGAAACCGAGATCAGAGTTTCCTGTGGCGGTGGTACATGAAATACTAGTAAGTGCATACGGCATTAAGACCTGGTCAGCCGGGGAGAAACGGATCAGTAAGGAGACTGGGTGATGTCCCACCAAGGGTTTTGAAAGACTGACATGAACCAAGAGTGGAACTGAGAAATTTGGAAGGAAAACAAACATACATCACCAGGCCTCGTGCTGACGACTTGGTGGACAGCCAAGGTGATGTCGTCCATCAGGTCCCTTGGAACCAGGGTGCAGGCTCTTGGCAGGATCTGAGTTTTCTGATAGACCTGATGGGTTTGATCGAGCTCACCATCCACACAAGACACTTCTTAGGCAGACAGTCCCATGGATTAACAAGACTTGATTCTCCAAGATGACACTAGGCTAAAACAAAATGTGCAGGGGAACCTGGGGGGCTGGTGGCCACCAGAACCCACAGCCATCACAAGCCGAAGAGCCAGAACTTCCACCAAGCAAGAAGTTGAACCTGGAGAAAACAAAGTTTTTACCTATGTGGGGCTCCAAAGTGCAAAGTGGAGTAATTTAGTAAGGCTTAATCCTAGGCCAAAATAAGGCAGTTTGCCTCTGCTCTGAATCCACACTTGCAGTACTTCTGTGACAACTTTTGGCTTCGAGGGGGTCTGATTCTTGGAAGGGAGAAGCTGTGGTTGTGGGTAACAATACTCCGTGTACTGTACATTCGTGGCCCAACGACCCTGGTTTCCATGTCATCACTTAATGCTGTGACTCACATAAGTGTACCCAAGAGCTACATGTGTATGGTGACCAGACTGTATTTGGGGCCTACAAAGCCTAGACTCAGGACAGAGCCCGAATCAGGAGCCCACAGGGCCTAGGTTTTAAGCTGCAGCAAAACTACTTCCATTATGAGGCTAAGTCTACAGTGACACAGATAATGCATACCCTGCTAAAATAACAGTATAGATGCCAGAGCACTTCATAGTATTGCTAGTTTATGAAGAAAGTCAATGTCTGTGACTTAACTAATGGCAAATCGCAACCCAGGTATTCTCTCTTCTGAATTTGGTTTTGCTGCTCAGAGCAAGTAGAATCTGTTGCAGAAGGAACTGGCAAGTGACACGCACGTAGAGACGAGCTGAATGGAAGTAAAATAAAAAGTTTATTTTACCAGCGAAGGTTGATCAATCACACTCAAAAAGGCAATGCCAGTGATCGACCTCCTATTGGGTTGCAGCTTCTTTTATAGGTTTCACAGCTATGATCTCATTCAGGTGCTTACATTTCATTTCCTCAGTTCACATTGCCCTGTACAAATTACAGTAACCAGACAGTTCACTCTAACCCAGGCGTAACAATTCCTTGTGGTTGGGGAGTTTACCTTAAGATTCCTCTAGCTCTCTGTTCTAGTGCAGAGGAAGGGGGTGTTCAGGGTTAGGGATGAGGCCAGATGTCCCACTTCATGGTCAACGCCTCCAGTGTCTGTTAATTGTGGACTAAACAAAGCAGATTGCTGTTAGAGGCAGCAGAAGTCATTTTACATTTTCCTAACATTTTGTAGGCTTTCAGATTATTTACAAAAGTTTTCTGTATCAGAATCCATGCTTATGTTACTTTATCTGTAGGAGAGAGACTATAATTTGAACGAGAATAATGTGTTTGGTGACCTTAATAACTTTAAGAAGATAAATAAGCAGGGGTAAAGGTCCCTCTTTAAAGGAGGAACTATGAAACTGCAGGAAGGATGTATTTTAGGAACTAGAAAAAACTGTACCCCACATATATGCTCAACTGTTAACAGATTTTTATCAGAAATATATTTAACGTGAAATGTACCGTTTTAGCCATTTGCAGCACACAGCTCGCTGGAACTGAGTGTGCTTGTACCGCCATGCAGTGAGCACCTCACCCAGGCCTGGAGCCTTTTCACTATGCCAGTCAGAACTCCATGTGCTTCACAGCAGCTGCAACCCTTTCCCTGCAACTACCCTTCTACTTGTTTTTGTTTGTTTTGTTTTGGGGGGTTTTGTTTGTTTTTTTGGTACCAGGGATTGAACTCAGGTCCTTGCACTTGAAAGGCAGCAAGGCAGGCAGTGGAGCCACTAAGCTAAATCCCAGGCCCTGCTCTTCTACTTGGTGTCTCTGTGAATTTGTCCATTCCAGATACCTAATTAATACAGATGGACTTTACAGTGTTTGTCCTTTTGAGTCTGGCTTATTTCACTCAGCATAAGTAAAATTCATTCACTTTTTGAAAAATTGAGAAATCTTAAGATCTAGAATTAGACAAAGTGTTGCTAGACTCGACACCAAAAGTGTAATCCCTAAAAGAAAGAAATTGGTAAATTGGGCCTCATAAAAACCAAACCTAGCTGGGCGTGGTGGCACACGCCTGTAATCCCAGCACTTGGGAGGCTGAGGCAGGAGGATCGCTGTGAGTTCGACACCAGCCTGGGCTACATAGTGAGTTCCAGGTCAGTCTCAACTACATAGTGAGACCCTGTCTCAAAAAACAACAAAACAAACAAAAACCAAACCTGCTTTTCTGTGAAAGCCCATGTGAAGAGGACTAAAACACAAGCTACAGCTTGGAAGAAAATACCTGCAAACCATATAGGTAACAAAGGACTAGTATATAGAATATATAAAGAATTATTGCACCACACATGGTAATGCATGCTTTTAACCCCAAGATGTGGGAGGTGGAGGCAGGTGGGTTGCTGTGAGTTCAAGGCCAGTCTGAACACATGGAAACACCCTATCTGAAAAAACAAAAACAAAGAAACCCTCAAAATTCAACAGCTAGAAATTGGGCAAAAGACATGAGTAACACTTCCCCAAAGAAAATACAGTTCCACACCACATAATGATGTTTTGGCCAGCAACAGGCATGACAGAGGTATTTCTGCAAAGAACAAACTAGTATTTCTGAAAAGTGCACCTCTTCAAGAAGAGCCCCAGACAGGAATTCAGGAGGGTTCCGGAAGAAGACATCTTCTCTGGGTGACAGCTGTGTGTGTCACGGACCTGGAGACCTGCAGTGGGAAAGATGTGGACTGCAGGTCCACTTGCTGACCCTACGTCGTCCAGGCTCATGTGTGTGCCAGTGTCTTTGGTGTTTTAAGATAAAAGCTCTTGCAATTAGAAAATTAAATAGATAAAACGCTTATAAGAACAAGGAAATAAAGAAAATACTGTGTAATCCCAGCACTCAGAGGCTGGGGTGTGGCCTACTGAGTGCTTTAGTAAGACTGTGTCAAGTAGAGTAAGTAGGGGTAGGGGATGTAGTGCAGTATAAAGACCCGGAGTTCAAGGCCCAGCACTGTCAAAAAGTTTTTTCTTCTATGTTTGTTTTAAGCTAAATGTTATTACAAAAGAGTCAAAAAGTTTTTAAAAATTAAGTTTATGAAGGAAAAATGTTATGGTAAAGTAAAGTTAATTTTTTATTGAAAACAAAAAATATTTTTCTATGGGCCGGGGATTTAGCTCGGTGCTGCTGCCTGCCTCACAAGCTCAAGGTCCTGAGTTTGATCCCCGGTACCAAAAATATTTTTTTTCTATAGCCGTAGTGTAGCCTAAGTGTCCAGTGCATGTGACGTCCTCCGCAGTGGACAGTGTGTCCACCTTCACCTACCACTGCCTCACCGACTCCTGCCCAAAGCAGCTCCCAGCCTGTACAGGTGCAGTGCTTTTTGTCTCGTGTATTTTACTGTACCTTTTCTATGTTTACTGACATTGAAATAAGCACCAGTGTGTGACAGGTGACTACAGTGTTCTGTACAAGAGTGTGGTATGCGGGTTTGCAGCCCACAGGAGCAACAGGCTACGCCGCCTGGCCACGGTGTGTAGTCAGGTGCCCCGTGTGGGTTGCATGCTTTCACTCTGATGTTCCCACCATGCCGTGGTCACCTAGCAACGCTTTCCTCAATGCATCCCCATCATTAAATGAAATGCGGTCAATAAGCACATGAAAAGTGTTCAACGTCATCATCGTGCACCCACAGTGAGATACCACTGCACACCCAATGACAGGGCCAAAATGAAAACACAAAACGCTGACAAGGGTGTTGAGAAATGAGTCACGTATACTTCTGGTAGGAATGTAAAATGGTACAGTCACTCTAGAAGACTGGTGATTTCTTACAAAACTAGATAAAAGAATTGCCTTTCAGCTAGCGTCTGCATCCTCGGGCATTTATTCCACAGAAATGAAAACTTATGTTCACATATACAGCAACCTGCGTACGAATGTTTACAGCCACTGAATCATAACTTTCCCAAACTGAAAACCGCCCGGATGTCCCTCAGTGGTTGTGTGGTTAACAAGTAGTGGTATATCCAGTCCACAGACTACTCAGTGATAAAGAGGAATGGATTTTTAATACAACGTGGATGAGTCTCCAGAGAATTATTCTGTTAAAAATATTCTAAAAGATTACATGCTATATTGTTCCATGAGGGGTGAGGGCTCGGAGCGGGGGACACAAGGGAAGTGGACGTGGTCACACCAGTGCAGTGGAGGGACCCTTGTGATCTTGCTTGGCATACTGACTGGTGGCTACACAACCTGTACATAATAAAATCATATACAATTAAATACACATGAGGAGTGAATGCAGTAAAACTGGGCAAATCTTAAGATCAGTGGATTTTTGTTAATGTTGGTATCCTGGTTGTGATATTGTCCTATAGTTTTTCAAAATGTCACAACGGGCTGGGATATAGCTCAGTGATTCCGCCACCTGCTTCGCAAATGCAAAGTCCCAAGTTCAATCTGGTACCAAAAAAAAAAAAAAAAAAGTCATCACTGGGTGAAACGTGTAAGGTATATGGGGATTTCTGTATTGTTTCTAACAACTGTCTGTGTAATCTGTGATAATCCCAATAAAATTTTCAGATTAGAGCAACAAGTAGTTCTGATTAGAGAAACAGAAAGTCAGCTGGGATTAATATCTGCAGAGTTTACAGGAAGTTCGTGGTGACTCAGATTTTCTTGGCTCCCTGGATGGTAAAATGTCAAGTTATAAACTAAAGAAAGTTCTTGAGAAACTAATGGCAGGAGAGTTCAGTGGTAGTAGTGGAAAAGTAATAAGTCGAGAGAAAAATGTCCCCAGTGTTGTAAGAATAGGCCACTGGAACGTCCGTCAGAAGCCGTCCTTCGGTTGCGGGAGCAGAGCGCCCACCCTCACCCCGCACGCAGCCTTCCGGCCTCCCCGATACACAGTGGGGACGCCTGTTCTGCGTCCTTGGCGCGGCCACAGCATGTTCTCATCTTGGTGGAAACCTGGGGCGCAGCGCTCTCCAGGAGCCCTCAGCCGACCTCCGTTAGCCCACAGTCCCCTGCGGTCCGCTGGTGCCTGACTGCTTCCCCACCACCTTGTCCCTCTGCCCTCGCAGATTTCGGGGTCACGCAGGCGCAGCTCCACAGGCAGGCAAGGGGAGACCAACCAGAAAGACCCGGCCTTCTCTAAACAGAATGCCTCAGATAGTAAGTCTGGGGAGCTGAGCCTGGCGTAAGTGTGGGCGTTCACTTAGGACAAAAAGTAACCTCAAGATACCTCAACGTTGGGGCGTGGCACGCTGGCTGGGGAGGGGGGCCGGACCTGCTAATTACAAGCTCCCAGGACACAGGTGCAGCAGAGTCCCCAAAGCCCTGCCTGTGAAACCCATCGGCGTGCAGTCTTCACTTCTAGCGAGAATTCCAGCAGGTTTTGATACGAGGGCAGGTACGAAAGGGCCGCCTTGGCTCCCTTGGCCTTCTCTCTCCTCCACAGTGGTCTGCCTTCAGGACGTGAAGTGTGCTTCCTTTCCTACTTTTTACTTGGCCCAAGCTTGCTCTGCAGAGTACGTTTCTTTTCCTGTCTTTAATAAACAAAACCTCTACCTTTTGTGCTTGTTTCGCCCAATTCTTTGCGATCATGGTATCATCCCTGCCAGGTAAGTACGTTTTGTACAATTCTTTGTTCTAGACCAGAAGAACTTGGAAACCACCTCTGGAAGGAGTCCCTAGTCCCTGGTAACATGAAGATTCTCAATTTGTAAAAACCCAAATCTCCCTGAATCATTTCTCCTAAAACTTTGCCTCCCAGCCCTCTATGGCCCTGAAATACAGTAGTGCATTAAATTAGGGAGCATGTTTCCCTTTAGGAAAAGAAATCACATTCGTTATTTTTCAAATCCTCTAAGGTGCAATTCCATCCCTCAAATATGAACCTTTTACTTTTTATTGCAGTCTTGTTCTGAGGCCAAGTTTGAAGAAACACAACTTGGTTCACTTAGCGTTTCTATTCTCTCGTCCTTTTTTTATCTTTGTTCCCCTTTTCACTATCGGAAACTTCCCCACCTTGTTTCACGTTTTTCAAAGATACTCTGAATAGTTACGTTAAATTTTATGGTGAAATCGTCCACTTTCCAACTACCTTGCAGGACAGCAGAATGTGCTGAGGCGAAAGCTCTGATCCATAACACTTTTTAAAAATACACTTCACAAACTTCTCAAGGGCACGATGACCTTTGTCCAGCTCACCACGCCACCTCAAGCTGGCCATCCGCGCCGGTCACTTTCAAAACTTTCTGGACTCCGTCGCGTTCCGTAGAGGCGTGATGACGTCTTGCACACTACGTTGCTGGTTTCCCTGGTGACGGTTGCCGAGGCAGCGGATGCAGGCGTCCTGAAGAGGAGACCCGGCCCTGCGCTCCTAGGTCCTAGGAAGGAAAAGCAGCGAGACCCCTGTAAGTGCGAGGAGGGCGGCAGGGCCGGGCCCGGCCGGGCAGGACCAGGCCGGAGGCGGA